AGCAATGTCAACAGCTACTCTTTCCATTGGTGCACCAACCTAATATAACTTCATTGGAGCATGTCCCTTATATTTGGGTCCCCTTTTAGCACAACATGTATTGCAGGTCCTGAACCATTCTTCCACATCTTGCCTCATACCTATCCAGTAAATCTCTGTCGTAGGTCACTCAATGTCTTCTTAACTCCGAGATGTCCTCATGTTAAACTATCATGGGATTGATGCAGCACAACTTCCCATAACTTTCTCGGTATAACTGTTTGCCAGGTCATCACTTTCCCATCTCCAGACAAGAATACTATCTTCAAGCTTCAACTGGTCCCATTGTGCCCAATAGTTCTTTGTCACGGGGCTTAAGCTAGACACCTTCTCCCAAGCAGGGCACAAAACACTTGATTTTAGAAAATCAACTATTGGCTTCAAATCTTGGTCTTTTCCTGCTTTGCTTTAATATCTATACCTGGTTCCACTTCACCATCATCGACTACTTCAGTCACTTTGACTTCAGCTTGATTACACCTGGTTAGTTCAACCTCTCTCTTTTGCAGCAATGTATGCAGTCATTTTTTGCAGGGTCTTCAGCTCAGTCTGTCGGCATTTCAATGAGATTTTCCTTCTCTGTATTCAATATCATAATGACACTGGTCTATCTTTCCAATCCGACGCGTCAGTTGTCCCTCTGGGTTCTTTAATGATCTTTACCAGCGTAATGCAGCATGGTCTGTCCTGATGGTAAACCTGGCACCATAGAGGTAAGGATGGAAATATGTCAGACTCTTTACTATAGCAACGAGTTTCCTCCATGTTACACAGTAGTTCCTCTCTGGTCTACTCAGGAGCCAACTGAAGTAGGCCACCACATGTTCGTTTTCGCCCACTTTCTGAAACAACACTCCTCCAATTCCAACAATACAAGCATCACAAGCCAGTATGTACGGCAGTAAGGGATTTGGAAACTTTAAAAGTGGAGATGATGCCAATTTATCTTTCAATATTTTAAAAGCATGCTGGCAAGAAACTGTCCATTAGAACTTCTGGCCCTTTTTTGTTAAATCATGTAGTGGAGCAGCTATAGTTGCAAAGTCCTTCACAAACTTCCAGTAATAGGTACAGAGTCCCAAGAAACTTCTTAACTCTCCCCCATTGTCTGGTGTTGGCCAATCATGCACTGCTATCACTTTGTCAGGATCAGTTTGCACACCATGCTTACTTACAATGTGACCCAAGTAAAGCACCTCTTTCTGGAACAAGTAGCATTTCTTGGGATGGAGTTTGAGGTTCGCTGCTTTCAAATGCTTGAAAACTTCCTCTAGCCAGGACATTTCTTCATCAAATGCTGTTGCAAACCCAATAACATCATCCAGGTACACTAGGGCTATCCTCCATTGTAGCTCTTCCAATACTCTTTCCATCACCCTCTCAAATGTTGCTGGAGCATTGCTAAGCCTGAATGGCATCACACGTTATTGACAGAGACCTTGGCCACAACTAAATGCAGTGTTAGGTTTATCTGCTTCAGCCGTTTTCACTTGATGGGAACCCGACTTTAAGTCCAGAGTTGAAAACCACCTGGCTCCACTTAGGGCACCAAGAGTATCATCAATTCTTGGCAGTGGGTATGAGTCTTTTTTGGTTATACTGTTAAGAGCCCTGAAGTACACACAGCAATGTTGGTTTCCATCCTTCTTCTGGACTAACACAACGGGAGCTGACCAGGGACTATCTGATTTCTCGACTATCCCTCCTTTAAATAGGCCATCCATGCCCTTCTCCATCTCTTGTCGCTTTGCTGGAGCTATTCTCCTCGGAGGGACCTTTATTGGACGGTGATTGCCTGTGTTTATTCTGTGCTCCACAAGGTCTTAGCAGCCGAGGTCATGATCTCCTTTTGAAAAGACGTCTGCATAATTCACCAAATGTTCTCTAACATGAAGAGCCTGTGATGATGACAAATGGACTATACTCTTCTTATAGAGGTCAGTTAAAATATTCTGGGAGAGGATGTCCATTCTTTATGGTCATGTTTCTTGCTTTAACATTGACTGGCTCTACCTCCTTGCACACACCCAA